CAAATTCTGACTTTATTTCCAATAATTAAAAAAAAATGGCAGTGTTTTGATTTCAACTTTGATTCTTAAAATTTTGAGTGTTTTAAGATTTTTAAAATAAAAACCTTTGGAATTGGGTAATATTTGATTTTATTTTAAAGTTTTCGGTGTTTTGGCATTTAATTAAAAAAAAATAGAAATTGTCAAAAGTCCAGTTTTTGACATTTTAAGTTAATTTTTTTATCAAAAATGGCGAAAAAGCGCACCCGAGCGATGAGCTTGTCCCTCGACTGGGACAACATGGTCAAGGAGGGCGAGTCGGAGAAGGGGGCGAGGGCGCACCTCGCCGGCAACATCGCCTACGACAAGGACACCGTGGAGTTCTGCACTGGGAGTTCGTACACCGGCAAGTGGAACGCCTTGGGGATGGCCGTCTACGGGACCTATCTGTACCCCCATGGTGAGTGGGGTCGTTGCACCGGATCGATGATGATGCCTCGCCGCCCACGAAAAAAAAACTCCATTCATGAGGGCTTTATGAAAGGAAAACTTGTTTAGGAGCGAAATTTTATTCAAAAGAAAAAGTTAAATTGTTTTTTGAACGGCGCGCAAGGGCTTTGATTGGCCTTTTTTCCACTATTTTTAGACGCGAATTGCGATTTAGTCCGACTGTTTAATCGGGTGAAAGCGAGGCGGCCGTGGAATGAGATTAATTTTAGGGAGGTTGGGGTGGCAGCACTGCAGTTTTTATGGTTGTTTTACAAAAATTAGGGAGAAGGGATGATTTTTAAGCGTCGTTACTCGATAAAAAGCTCAAAATTTAAATTTTTGTGAAATTTAAAGAAAACATTCCTACCAACTGCGCCAGTTACTAATTTTTTGTACATTTTGGACCACATTCTTTGTTTTTATCTCATAARTTTTACTCATTCTGAAATTAAATGACCAATTTTTGCCCAGTAAATTATCCCGAAAAGTGTTTTTAGATTATTACACCATTTGAAAAATATTAATAAAACAATYCAAATCTAAAAGAAAAAATCTTATTCTTGAATGAGAATATTCTGTCTAAGTTCATATAGGGTCGAGCCACCTACCAACTGCTCCAGTCACTAATTTTTTGTACATTTTGAACCACAATTTTTGTTTTTATGTGAATTTTTGTTTTGTTTTAATGACCGACTTTTGCCTAGTTTATTGCTCCGGAAAGTGTTTTTAGATTAGATTATACCTATCATTTCAGCAAAAAATAAAAAAACACAATGGAAAAGAAAAAAATCTAATTTTTTTGATCGAAATATTGCAACAAAAAGATGAATTTGAAAAAGTTGTGAAAATTTTTTCCTAACAACTGCGCCAATTTCGATTTTTTTTATACGTTTTTGTCACATTTTTTGTTTTTATCTGTAAATTTTTGTTTATTTTGAGCCAATAATATTGCCCCGAAAAGTGTTTTTAAATTACATTGATTACACCATTTCAAAAAAAATATAATAAAACAATACAAATCTAAAAAAAATCTTAGAATTTGCCCCAAAAAGTATTTTTTATGTAATGTTTCAAAATTTATTGTAAAATTAACAATTTTTTGTAGCAAATTTGCTGTAATTACCAACACATTATTTCTTTAAAATTAGAGAATTGAAATGTTTGGATTTCAAAAAATGGTTTTAATAATTTTTTTACATTGTTTATTTAAGTTTACATAACATAAGTTTTGTGTAATAATTGTGTAAAGCGCAAAAATTGATTCATTGTGTCAAATAATTGTTAAATCTTGTTATTCTTAAATAAAATTGCAGAAATTTAACAAAAAAGTGGAAGTAAAAACTTGATTTTGTTATATCTTGTAAAAAATTCTCCTACTGACTGCACCAATTACTCAATTTTTGCAAATTTTTAATATTTTTTTAAGAAATCTTTTTCAATTACATAATTGTTTCTGATCAGAGTGCTTCTGAAATTTTGCTAACTACTTATACAGTTTTACATCTTTTGATCACAATTTTTTAACCAAGCGTCTAAAAAACGCATTTTAAAAAAATAACCAACATTTTTCTTAAAATTGCACCACTTCAATAAATTAATTTAATTAATTAAATTTTCTTGAAAGGAGTTTTTTTTTTTCAATTTTTTAAAAAATTATCCTACTACCTGTACCAACTACCCAATTTAATTTTTTTTAATTTTTATGACATATTTTTAGATATTTATTTTTAAGCCGATTGAAATTTTGCCAACTACTTAGTTTCGCACAATGATTAGCTTTTTTCCAAATATCGCAAATATTTAATAAAAGTAATTTTTTTTAAACTTTTTTGAAGGTTTCAATGTTTTAGAATTTTATGAAAAATTGTTCTACCGACTGCGCCAGTTACTCAATTTTTTTAATTTTCTTAAAGAATTTTGTCAATTTGATCTAAATGTTTGAACCAAACGGCCGCAAAACCCATTTTTAAACAAAATTACCAACTTTTTTTACAATAATTGTAAATATTCAATAGAAAAAATTCCAAGTAATTTCTTCCAAACCCGCAGACAGTCGTCACGACTTAATTCCCATCCAAACTCAGGTTTTGCATTACCATTCCACCGATATTTTAACACAGTTAACCAACTTTAATGGAACCCGAGTATCGGTTTTAGTTACACTAATTAAACTCGGGATGATCGAAATGCCAACTCGTTTTAACACAATATTCTCTCTCACAGCCGATGCGTGAAAGTTTTTTTTAAGGTTGCAAACACAAGAGAAGTTTAGTTAAAAAAAAACATCCCTACCGACTGCACTAATTACTCGATGTATGTTAAATAAGTGTTAAATTACGATTTTTATTACTTAAACTACTTCAATATTACTAAAATATAACAAAAAAAAATTGAAGTAAGAGCCTAGTTTTTCAAAACTTATAAAAAATTCCTACCAACTGCACCAACTACTTGTTTTTTGTTAAATAATTGGTAAATTCTAATTTTTATCAATGGATAGTATATCAATGGATATACTAAACTATAACAAAAAACTGAAGTAAAAGCTTAGTTTGTGAACAAAATTTCCTACCAACTGCACCAATAATTTAAGTTCTATTAAATAATTGTTAAATTATTTATAATAGTTAAATTACTTGAATATTAGAAAAAATATATAAAAAAACTTCCTACCGACTGCACCAATTACTTAATTTTTGCCCATCTTCGCCCTCAAAATCACCATTTCTAGGTTGCGAATACGAGGGAGGCTTCGAGGACGGCATGTTCCACGGCGAGGGTGTCTTGGTATACCCCATGGGCCAAAAACTGGAAGGTTACTGGGAGAAGGGCAAACTGATCGATTACAAATTTACCAACGTCGATGGGTTGGACCATGCCGACCCATGGACGTATTGTGTCATGCCAGACAGGAGGTAAAGATGGGCGAAACATGACCCATATTTGATTTCCATCTCCAGATTTAATGTCACACTACGAGAGGGTTTGCAACCAGCAGGCCGTGAATTTTTGACCAATCAGCAACCAGATCGGCCAATTGAACAAGACTGCTATGATACAGGTGATGGATTTTATAATCCAATGACAAGGAGTATTATCATGGCACGTGACCCCGAGGAATACGAGTAGAAAAGGCCACTTGATTTTTTTGAAATTTTTGAAAATTCGAATTTTAGGAATTTGGATGATCACGACTCGATTATGATTGTCAAGAGTACTGATGACGACTTTTGGGTTCATGCTGTGACGTATGTTATCTATTTTATTTGATTTTTTTGTTATTTTTTTTTTTTTAGTATAGTGAATCAGGCCCGCCATGATTGGATTACCCGCCATTGTCGCAAGGCCTGGGACGAGCCGGCGGGCTACCGGCCGGATCTTTACGAAGATTGGATTACCGGAAGAAGAAGAGAATTGGAAGAATTGGATAAAAAATATGCTTCAAGTAGCAATTCGGTAGAAAGTAACGAAAACGGAGACGTTAAAAATGCCACAAACGACGTTAATGGAGAACTAGAAATCAAGGAGTCGGTGGATTACGCCGGCACTGGGCGAAAATTGGCACCATCAACATCTACTTTGTGAATTTGTAACGAAATAAATTGATTTTGATCGAAAATAAATGATTTTCTTTGATCTGGCAACAGCGATAAATCTTGACACTGATGGAAATTAATAAATGTGGCAGCACTGCTTTATACACAAAATTTTCCGCATTTTTGCAATAAGTAAATGTTTTGAGATTTTATTGATTTTATCAATTTTTTATGGCAACAAATTAAATGCACGGTATATTATTTGAAATGTCAAGTATTTTTGATAAGTAAAATATTAAATGGACAGTAAAAATAATAAGTGCACAGTAAACTAATAAATGCACAGTAAAAACAATAAATGCACATAAAAATAATAAATGCTCAGTACAAATACTAAATGCACAGTAAAAAATATTAAATGCACAGTAAGAATAATAAGTGCATAGTAAAGGAAACGAATGAATGTAAAACTAATTAATTTAATATTCACACATTTACAAACAAAATGTTTCTACAATAATAATAAATAACATTCTTGCGCAGGGGGCATAGATTATTATGTAACCAAGACGGAAATTCCTTATATTTTATGTTATTTTGTTAATTTTGATTAAAGTTAGTGAGTGTTTATTATTTTTACTGTGCAAATTGGATTTTTTTACTGAAAAAATTACAATAAAATACTGTGCGTGCTTAACTTAGTATTTATTAACTTTACTGTGCAATTTATACTGATCATTTTTATTTTTTTACTGTGTAAAAATTAATTAAATACTGGTCATTTATTTATAATTTATACTGATCAAAATTGAATTATTTACTGAGCGCTTTATTACTACCCATTTTTTATCAACGGTTTCAAGATCTTGAACCTATTTTTTGAGATAATCTTGAGAACAATTGCATTTATAAATTTACATCATTTATTTCAACATTTTAATATCATTGAAATGAAACAAAATTGTTTCAATTCAAGATATTAACATTCAGTTCTTTTGCTTATAACTTTATATTATCAATTATCTCAAGATTTTCAAAATATTGTCATTAACACAAAAAATAAACTCAAAATTTTATCATTTTTATTGAGTTATCTAAAGATTTTACTGTTTTAATTTTAGATATTTAATTTTTTGCTTTTCAAAATACCACTGTACCACTGTTCAAGATCTTTAGTAGTTTTTGGGAGAATCTTGAAAACGATTTTGTGTTCAAATTTGCATTAAAAATTTCAAGATTTTCAAGATAATCTTAAGGGTCCTGAAGAATGTTTTTTTACCTTAAATTCTTTAGTTTCAAGACTGCCGTTTTCACTCAAGATAATTACAGTTTATACTATTTTGAAGATTTTGAGACTTACTTTTTGAGATAATTTTGAGAAAAATTTTGCTTTAAACTTTTTATCAATTATCTCAAAATTTTCAAGAMATTGTTCTTGATACAAAGGATTATTTTAACTCAAGATTTTAGCTTGTTTCTTGAGTTATATCTAAAGATTCTACTGTTTTAATTTAAAATATTTAAATTTTACTGCTTTTCAAATTCTTGATAGTGATTTGGTTTCGAAATTMTTTTGGGAGAATCTTGAAAATGATTTTATGTTTAAATTTACATCGAATATCTCAAAATTTTCAAGACATTGATCCGAAAAAGATATTTCAACTTTACCTCAAATTCTTTTATAAGTTTACCTCAAGATTTCATTGTTTTATTTTATAATATTGAATTTTTTTCTGTTTTTTAATGATTTTCAATAATTTTTAAGAATTTTGAAGAAAATTTTGTGTTCAAAATAATATCTTTATTTCTATTAGTTATTATAAAAATATATTGAATTATTATAGATGAGATATTGCAAAATTACGTTTTAAATGCGTTATTTTCGCTTGTTCTAAAGAAAAATCCATAAAATTAAATAGTTTTCTTTTCAAAACAAGCTGAAAAATGCGTTGTTTCTTTCATTTGAAAACGTTAAACGCATTTTTCCCTGAAAAACTCTTTAAATTTGAAAAGTGTTAACAAATCAAAGAAAAAATTGCAAACTTAAGTTTAAAATACATTACCTATTTTTGCATGTTTTTATAGACTTAAAGCGTTTTTTATTAAAAAACTTACTAAACAATACAGAAAATCGCAAAAATAACTCTAAACATGTTATTTCTTGTAATATTAAACCTAAAATGCATTATTTTTGCAAATCTTGTTAAATTTAAAACTTTTTTTCAATGAAAAAGTTACAAAATTTGAAGGACTTTGCCAAAACAAAGTAGAAATTTTATGAATTTCTTTATGTTTGTTTTACTAAAAAAARTCACCAAATTGGAGACTTTGTCACAACAATGAATAAAATTCTAAAACTAGACCTGTTTTTTTTTTAAATTCAAAAAATTTGTCAAATTTTTGGTTTTGATAGATTTAGTTTTTTTTACTAAGTAGCTCAACAAATTTTAGAGATTTTGTTAACACAATATAGAAAATTGTTACTTTTGTTTTATGGTTTTTTGTACAAATTATTACCACTTATAATTTTTTTTAGAATTGAATTAATTATCAAGATTAATTACCTATATCAAAATACTTGTTGCTTGAGACAGCTTAAAATTCTTTTTTAAAAATATTTGAGAATAAAAGGCGTGTTAATGTTAATTATGAGTATCTTGAGATAAAAATAAAGATTAGAAAACCTTGCAGTCTAATCTTTATMATTGTTTCAAGACTTTAAGAAAAACAATCTTTTTATTTCAAGACAATTTTAAGACAATATAAATAAGCGGATTTAAGACCTTGTACAAAAAACAGAAAATRTTGGAAAAGATTGTAATAAAGATATCTATATTTTTCATAATTGATTAAGGTTTCAAGATTCCGTAGCTTTTAGAAAACGCTAACAAATAGAAATTAAAAAAAAACAAATTATCTTGAGACAAAGATAATGATTATAAGATTTTTACACGTCACTGATTTTAAAATTTACACAAAAAGAGTGTTTTAATTAAAACAATGATTAAGAAAAATAAATTAGGCAACCTTAAAATTGGTCAAGATTTTGATTGTACCAATCACAAGATTCCATTTTTTTTTCAAAATTTTGACTCTAAGTATTAATTATCTTGAAATTGATTTTAAAATTCACACACAAACAGGGTATGTGTAAATTATGCAATCTTGAAAATAGTGAAGATAATCTCAAGATTCCATTTTTTCCTCAAAATCTCGTCTCTATCTCAGTTTCAATCTGCCAATACCATATTTCAAGATCTTTGCACCGTAAATATTGAAAAGCTTGAATGTTAAGTAATTAATAAATGAATTAATTATCGCAAATGAAACAGTTTAGAATTTATGCGAGTTCATTAAAATAATGGGCACGCTTCACCGGATGACTAAGTAAACAAACCGATTAATTTAACGGCTATCATAATTACGATTAGCTTTATATTAATACGCAGGCTATCAAGGTAGATGCTGCGTGGTGGTCTGCTGAAACTGAAATTCGTTTCAGTTGCGCGCTGAACCTCTTACACTTTGCACGATTGCTGAAAACTGAAAAATCGCTTCGGGCGCGAGCAGTGGTGAAAAAATGAAAAGAAATTTTTAGTTCCAGGGTAAGTGCTAATAATTTACACAATTTAACGATGACTGATAACTAATAAGGGGGCGTGATGAGCGATTATAGAATTGTTTTGATGGCTTATTTATCGATTTTATGGCCAATTTTTTTATTTATTGAGCTAAAAATAGCTCTCAAATAGAATTGAAATTAAGGAGCAATTTGAGAAGTTTACGGAAAAGTAAAATTGAAAAGCTTTGAAATGTGAGTGGAAAAGGGAAATTTACGAGTTGAAAGCAATGTTTGTTATTTTGGATAAAAACACGAGTTATGTGTAATTTTTTACAAATTAACCAATTTGCAATTCCAAAAGTATAGATTTTTTTCAGTTTTTTCAAAAGGTAATAAATACAAGTAAATTTACATTTTTATTGATTTTTGAATTATCATTATTTTTTTTTTAATTTTAAGATCTGACAGATAGATTCTTAAAATTAATAAACAAAAAGAACTATTTCAAATTTTTTATTAAAAATATAAAGTAAAAGTAATTTTTAACAGGATTAAAGAGTCTCAATGTTTTCTCTCGAGACGAAAGTTTTTTAAAGATATCTAGACTACAAATCTTGAAACAAAAGTACACATCTGAAGATTTAAAAAAATTCGTACTTTATTTCAAGATTTCAGTTTTTCACTTTTAATGTGCTTCCAAATTCTCTCTCTCTCTCTCTAAATTCTGTTAACTGTTCTCAATATGAGAAGTTTTTATTTAAAATTACAATCTTTAAAGTATTCAAAAATAAAATCTTAACAAATGTTCATTACAGACCTCTCATAAAATTAATAAGATGTTAAAGTTGATTTCAAGTTATGATCTCTAAAATATAATAATAATAGTTTAGTTTATRGATGTATTTTTGATCTTGAGACAAAGAAGCTGTTTCTAGATTTCAATTTTTTTAAACACATGAGATGATTTTAAGATGATATTGAGACTTCAAGAAAACAAAAAACGAACTTGTAACAACAGAAAATGATGAAGATAAAGAAAGAGGTTGGTAGTAAATTTTGTAACTCGGCGTTTAACAAATATTATTTATCTTCATAATATCTTTAGGAAAATTCAAGAARAAAATCTTGACAATTGTAATTATCGACCTATCTTGAAACAAAGATAAAATTAATAAATTCGATGTTAAAGTTAATTTCAAATTATYTTCTCAAACAGATCTTGTCTTATAAAATAATGATTTTTAATCTTGAGACAAGAAGCTATTCCAAGATCTCAATTTTCAAAACATTAAGAAAATTAAATAATAAATTTTGTGTCAATTATAGATTTTAAGATGAAATTAATGTTTCAAAACAATAAAAAAAAGCTTATAAAAACGGAGTATTTTAAAAAAATGCTAATTTCAAAAAAGTGATAAATATCTCAAGATTTGGGCTTTTTAACTCAAGAAATCCAATTTCTACGAATTTTTCAAGAACTCAATAACAAAGTCTTGAATAAATTGATTTTTAAAATTTGTCTTTTGAAGCTGAATATTTTGTTTCAAGATCTCAGTTTTTTATATTTAATGTGCGTTCAACTTAGTTAATTGTTCATAATGTGGTAGGCAATTTTTGTGCCTAATTATTATTGACTTCAAGACGATATTAAGGTTTCAAGACAATATAAAAAAGAATTTTGCGTCTCAAGTTTAGTAAATATCTCAAGATTTGGTCTTTTTACTCCAAAAATCAAATTTTTATGTATTTTTCAAGATTTTAATTTAAGTTTTAAAAAAATTGATTTTGAGATACCGATCTTCAAATGTCGAAATCTTATTTCCAAGTTAGAAAGAGAAATAAAAACACGTTCTATACATGAGGAAATGAGACATCATGATACATGGCCAACCACATAATTTTTACATACCGATTTTTTTCTACAACCAATATTTGGGGCCAACAAACTGTTATCAAGTATATAACCAAGATAACTCAAATGGGCCCAAATCCGGTCAGTGCGGATACCCCAAAATGACATCTATTACTCTCCTTATGCAGAATCTTCCGGAGATTCCAAATAWGTAATCGGAAAATGTCTTTTTGAAAAATATTTTCACATTGTTGCTCATTCCGGCCCCTCTATTTGCTCTCCGTGTTTATAGAATGAGTCATGAAGTCTAGTGCCACTCTAATCCAAGTAAACATCCATTTATCCATCCATTACGATAAGCACTTCCTTTATCCCCAATTTTGCCCAAAAAAAATCAATTTTCTATCACCTGTTTCAAAAAAACGGATGTTTTGCGATTATAAAAATGCTTAGTTTTCATAAATGACGTAGTTAAAACTGCTCACTTGACGTAATTCAACAAAGACGATGCAAACGTCATCGAATTTTACTTAGGAATTATTAGAATGACACGTCGTTWAAAGATTTGTTTGTTATTTTATGACGCTTATGTTGGGACTGCTAACACGTGTTTATGCATAATAAAATAATATTTCTTTTTACGTCCGTGGGCGGTTTATTTCTTCCTTCCCAGTAAACTTGCAAAAATAAAAATCAAATTGGCTTGAATTTACATATTGCTATCTCAAATTGKACCAAAATGACAACACTGCAGAACAAAAGACAAACGGGGGACGACAATTTTGATTTTGGCACACGGTGTAGTGCCAAAAACAGGGGTTAAAAATGTTTTTTCAGGGGTGTACGACGCTTRCTATAAAAAATAAAAAAATTATTGCGTAATCTTGAGAAACTTTATGTAAAGATTAAATTGTCTTAGAGTGATTATTTTCATCAAGATTTTTGATCTTTATGCTGTTTCTCGAGTTTAAAGCCTCACATCAAAAATAAAAAACAATTTTGAGATTTTGAGAAAATTCTTAAAATAGTCTTAAAGATTCTTACAASTTTTGAAAATCAAAGACTCAAGATTTTTAAGCAGCGTATTCATGAGATATTGAAGTTATATATAGTGATTATAAACTCGCAAAATGAAAATCAAAATGGTTTTGAGTATGTACGAGTATATCGCGATCTCTGTCTAAAAGTGTCCCCAAATTGACAAATTTGAGACAAAATTGCGCCAAAATGGCAACAGTGGGTAACAAAAGACAAACGGGAGCCAAAAATTGTGACCTTGGGGTATGGTTTAGTACCAAAAACAGGGGTTAAAAATGGTTATTTTAGGTGTATACAACGTACTTTTGTTTTCTATAGAAAAATAAAAAAGTGAGGAATGAAAGAAAAGCTAAGAAAAAAATATTTTGCAAGTTTGGGAAACTATGTAAAGATTAAATTTTCTCAAAAGTAATTATTTTAATCAAGATTCAAGATAATTACGCTGTTTTTAGAATATTTAAGGACACAGAAAAACTGACAAAATATAAAAAAACAGATATCGACTTAAGACCTCATAATCTTGAAAATCAAGTACCAAAAATATTAAAAAGAGTATTGATAAGATATAGAAATTATTTTATAATTATTAATGAATTTGCATATTGCTATCTCTGTCTAAAATGTCGTCAAAACTGCACCTAAATGGCAACAGTGGAC